CCCCCCCCCCAGAGTGTTCAAAGTAGTTCGACCTCATCCGGTCGCGTTGTTACTGTGCTGCAATTCTAAAGAAAGATAAAGAGAGAGAGCTGCCAGCAGGAGCTGAAAGCGGTCAACCGACCAGATATAATGACAGTTAACGAAGTGAATTAACGGTTAATAAAGGAGGAGAAGTATAAACTGCATTTACTCACCAGTTGTAATTATTTGCAGCTACTCTACCGGACGAGGCGTGTGACTCATGTGTTAGTGATGTGTTTTTTTATTTTCTTCACGCGACCGTTCCTGTACAGAGTGTTTCATTGGGTGCGGAGGTGAGAGCACATACGGTAGTCAAAAATAGTAAAACGGAAGATTATGTATAAATGTTTGTCACTCTTGATATGGATTTCTAATCACTTGTGGTTGTAACAAAATGGAGTTTCTTACTCTTTCAAGGCTTATGTGGCCGTATTTTCTTGGAAAGATAAGTCTAAAGATAGTCACAAAACAATTTGCAGGGAGGATTGTCCCGAGTAACCATAAGCAATTGGCTTAAACGTGTGATTGATTAGCTATTGGTAATATTTCCACAAGCTGCTTTTATTATCTTTGTGTCCAGTTGTATACATTTTATGAAACACTCTGTACAAAGGCGCACAGAAGGTTTCCGTCGTAATCCCCACAATTGGGGGGTCTTCCCAATGGTGCCCAGCGTTTAAAAACACAATTCGTGTGATGTTCGAAGTTACAGTTTAAAAAAAAACTATCGTGTTACACCCCGAAGAGATTTTCAATTTCGCACAAAAGGAAAAAAGAAACGTGACAATTGTAATAAATTCGTCTGTTCTTGTGTCATCTACGTTCTCCATTTAATCTCCAATGTTATACTTTATTGCCCACGGCTAATAAAATCGTGATACTTGTTCGACTACACGTTCATTTGTTCCTGTTCTGCAAAATAATCGTGTATATTCGTTATCTGCTCGTCTTCGGACCCCAAGTGATCGATGGAATCGGCAACGCAGCCGACTGTAACTACTTCATTTTGTTCACCAGCATTATCACTATTGTCATTTTGATGGAACAAAGTAATTGGTTTAGACGCTTCTATATTTTCCAAATTATCAGGCAAAGAACAAAACTTCCCACTTGGTTTCAAGTGACGTTCCGATTGTTTTGCGATTTCAACTCCGCATTTGTTCCGTTTAAATCGTTTCAAAATCACGAAAGGGGACGAACATTCGCGCTCGAAATTCGTCGGATTTTTCAATCGACTCCTTATCACAAAACTTCTGCGAACTCGAGACGGTCGCTTCAGTCCGTTCTTGAATAGTTCGCGCATTTGACCGCTCGTCGATCCACCGATTACTGCGTAACTTTTACTTCCTTTGTTTTTGATTATGGAGTGCCTTATTTTACGCACCCTGTACAGCCCATCGCCCATCGAAACGTACTTCTCTCGCGAATTATTTCGTTTCCTGTCCGCGTGATCGATGTCTGTAGGAAGCAAAATCCAGTTGTCTTTTCGCGAGATCGTTGATTTATTTGATTCCACGTTTTCTCGATTCCGGTGAATATAGTTCGTACTCCATAATTTGTGGGAGTAAAAGTTCGATATATTGCCCACCAACGAGCCGAAAGAATCGAGTTGCCTTCCAATGACCGAATAGATCGCGGAAGCGATGCTCGTCTCTGGTTCCGTATCTCGATGATAAGAGGATGTTTCGCAGACGATCTTCGATAAGTATGGTTCAAGCCCTCTCTGATGGAATATATTCGCAAAGATACCATCCGTTCCTGTCCTCGTGTTTGGAGCTGCTTGTTTCAACGGCGGAAAATGTTCGAACCCTTCAGTGACTTTCTTATCTAAAAATGAAAATCACAATTACTATTCCTCTTTTTGCTAGAGAATGTTTATACCGCGTTTGTCCATCAGAATACATATTTTCACACTTTTATATTATATAAATATACGATGCACTCACCGTCCAATCCAAGATCATCTGTAAAGTTCAATTCCTCGCCAGTCAAAGATTCCAAAGTTGCATTTAATCCAGCCTCGCGATCTATTTCGTCGTCCATGTTAGACACTTCAGAGCATTCGATTTTCTCCGGAAGAAGGCGTGCGCAATTTTCATCTTTCGCATTTTCAATTCTGATATCCTTCGGACAATACTCCACAGAATTCTCCCCGTCCTCCATCTTTTTATGGACGCACTCGTTCATTATCATCCATCTGCCGAAATCGCCGCACCGTCTATCGTATTTAATATCGGTCACCATCGAGACGATCTGCACGTTTCCTCTATTCCCATTGCCTTGTCCCGATTCATCCTCCCCGGAGTTAATCTCGTCCGTCCTATTCGAACCTGAGTCGCCATTGTTCGCGGCGTCCTTTCGTCGTCGCCTCATGTCGATTCTTTTCCGTAGTTTCGATCTAAGTCCGCCGAAAGTTTTACGAGAACTGGAAATATCGGCTGTCTTGATCACGCGCGCATTCAACGATCCCTTTCCCTCGTCTTCTTGATCCCCGGAAGTGCCTTCTGCCTCTGGTCCCTCTACCGTGATTTTTAAATTTTGTTTACTCTTCCAGTTTTCCGTTTCTTTCTCCCCACTGTCATCTTTCTCGCTGTCTTTAACTCCAGTCCCTTTAGGCTCGACTTCTGTCTTCTTTTCAATATTGGAGTTCACGATCACTTTCGACGATTCTTCATCGTCCTTTCCA